GAGGGGAAATATTGGGGAATTAAAGCATAGGTAGAAATGTATTTGAAATTGTATGCTACCCTTGGAATTTATGGGATAGCCCAAAGGGCTACAGAGGGATATTTGATATGTAAAAGGATTAATAAAGGGTTAAGACTCCCAAAGGAGGGAGACAAATAGCTAAATGTAGAACAAGTACTGGGGTCTCTGTCTTCTCTTTGACAGGAAGGTTTGGTGGCGCAAACAACTCCTTTGGAATTTCCAGTCCATAAGATCCAGCCGGGACAGTGTGTGCTGAATCGTAAATGGAAGGAGGAACTTCTACAACCAAAGAAAGGAAGTTCCTTATTATATCTGCTGTCCCGAGGGCTGAGAAGGGTTGGACTCACTACACATGAGCAAAGGTGGTGACTGGACCTGAAAGAGGGTGGACGGTTATTCCAGGACAAGGACTGAAAGCCACGTTTAAAAGGACTTGAATGGGTAGTGGACCAGAACCCCTACCTATTTTGAATATCTTTATTAGAATTTCAGGTGACCCCAGACGAAGAACAAAGATGTTGGTGGTGACTCATCAGAGAAATAAAAGTTGTTTGTTACAAATAAAATGAATAACTAAGTCAGAAGTCATACCATTAGAAACTGAAAATGTACATTGCAAGAATTAGGTGGTAGATGTGTTACCTCTGTAATAGCTAGTGATTATTGTTATTGTTGTAATTGTGGATCAATTTGTGGGTGTGAAATACTGTGTAATAATCATGAAGGGTGGATTCTACTTCTAATATTACTGAAGACAACACACCAGAACAGCCTGGGAAATAAAGGTAAAAATGTGTTTGTGGGATTTAAAGATAGATGATAATCATGAAGCAGAATGGATATTGCAAAAGGAATCAGGAATGTGCCCAACGCTCCTGAACAAAAGTATGAAAATATGTGGGGTGATTGGAGTTGGTTAACAAATTGGCTTCCCAATTTTGGATGGTTAAAACAAATATTTAAAGGACTAGTGTTTATAGTTGTGATAGGTATTATGTGTTGTGTCTGTCTCCAATGTATACCCTGCTGTATTTCATTTTGCACTAAAACATTGGGGTCAGTAGCGAAAAACATCTCTGGAGAAGATATACAGATTCAATTTATGTTATCTAATATAGCCAAAAATGAAGATTCATCAGAGTATACAGAAATACAGGGGGGATTGATAAATATACATCAATATGATAAATCTTCAGTCAGTTAAAAATACAATACAATGGAAACTAATAGAAAAAAATACAGATGGTGAGAGTCAGGAAGAGATTAAGGAAGTAAGATAACCATATAGGCAAAAATAGCTGGGTCTGAGAAAGAAAGAGGAAAGTCATAAAATGGATAAATAATTGTTTTTAAAGGAAATGGCTAGCCAGGAAGTATAGGAAAGTAGGAAACCATGCCAAATAAGATAAGAAGAGAGGAATGGAGAGCAGGAAAAGAGCTTATTGTGGAGACATAAATATATATATTGAGTTTAAAAATAACGATAGGAAAATAATTTTTCTTATTCTTATTGTATAAGTGAATATGATTTAGTATGTTATCAGGAAATGTGTATAGGCGGACGGAAAGAGTGTAACCTCATACTACCTCAGCCAATGGGGAAAGAGGAGGGCTGTAGCGGCCGGTGAGAGGGATGAATAAAAGAAGGAGATATTTTGGGTTAAAACTTTGGAGAGAACCAAGCTTTGAAAGCTTCTCTCCCCGCTTATTGCAATAAACGAAACAAAAGGCCTTCACTGTGTCTTGGCTGGTTATTGGTCAGGCGAGCTTGCCTCTGGTCACGAAGGAAAGTAGCCAGGAGCACATAACAGCCATCTTAGACTTCCGGTTTGCCAACGTGGAGAGCTCCGTCTTCCACATCCGATTTCGCACCGCTGAGGGATCCTGGAAAGGGTTGAAAGTCACCCTGTAGGGGCGACAAGCAAGGAGGGGACCCTTCCGCTCGATCTGGGGCAGCCCTCCAAACTGGCGGACAAAAGACTGGCCATAGAAATATGGCCCGTCACTAGGCTGCACACAGCCCAAGTCAAACTTACCACCAGGCACCTATAAAGCAGCGCGGGTGAGACTGGGTGAGATCTGAACCTCTCTTCAATCCTAATATTTTTCTACCTGTACAAGCTAACTAAAGTGTTTTCCCCCCTGTGGAGAAAGGGAAGGGAAATTCTATCCCACCCTCTAAAAACAGCAGCGACTGACTATCCAGGGGAGTTTAAAATGCTGAAATAGTAACCTGATTATAACTGGATTTCTATCTTTCTAAAATTTGAGGACTAAAAGATTTCTTACTCTTATTGAAGATTTGGGTTTTTACTTACAAAAAAGAAGTAAAATTGGAAAAAGGATTATAAAAATTTTGGACTTAAAAAAAAATAATTTTAAAAGGTATGGGCGACATCTTGTGGCTAAACCTAATAATACAACTTGCTATTGCCTAAAAGCTCTTAGGGGGAGCCTGGAACCCCCACAGAGCACGTCCCCAGGTAGCAGATTGGGGGGCCCTACCCATTATGGCTTTTATGCTGTAATGGCGGATTGGAGGGAATCAAATACCTCCCCTGGACCAACAGGCCTAATGAGTGGCAGCTGGCTCCCCAGTATCGATTGAAGGCGGAGACCATATTGGTTGGAACAGATTCAGAAGAACAGCACACGGTGTGGTGGCAGCCACTTGAACAGCATGTGCACAGCGGTGTAGAAAGCAAAGGAAAGACTACTACACTATATATTTCCCAGGAAAATCATGTTAATGGCAGCAAAACCTAACAATGGCCCTGAGTACGGGCACCCCTTAAATGGGGCAGGGGTGCTAAGAATCTCCCGGTCTGCTAGAAGCATGATAAACCCAAAACTATGAATTGGTATGTGGAATCTGAGAACCCTATACGAAGCTGGGAAAACATACAACACTATCCAAAAAATGTCCAAATACAATATCTCTATATTGGAGTGAGTGAAATGCGCTGGCCTGAAAATGGAATGTGTAGAATAGGAAATTATACTATCTACTACTCTGGTGAGAATAGCAAACACCATCGAAATGGAGTAGCTATAATTGTAAACAATCATGTAAATAAATGCATCGAATCCTTTATTCCTGTATCCGATAAGAGTGATAATGATCCAAATAAATAGTACTCCAGTAAATATGAACAAATTCAAAACAGAGAGAGGGGTACCACAAGAAACAACAGTGGATGATGGAGGAAAGTCTTCATCTCGTGGATGAAAGAAGATCTTATAAAAATAAAAACGAACAAAAATACAATGAATTGCAGAAAACAATTTGAAGAAAAATTCGACTGGCAAAAGAAAAGTGGTTTGCTAAGAGATGCAAGGAAATAGAAGAGACAGAACGTATGCATGATAATTTCAATTTACACAAAAAAGTGAAAAAAGCAGCAGACTTCTACAAAAAGAAAACCAACAACTTAGTTGACAAAGAGGAGAAAATTATCTTAGATGAGGATGAAAAACTAAAAAGATGGAAGGAATATGTTGAAGAACTTTTTGAGGACACTGGGGATGATATAGATATGGGAAGTATAACAACTGGACCAAATATCGCTATGGAGGAGGTTGACCATGCAATAAAAATAGCAAAAACAAGAAAAGCCACAGGACCTGATGATATCCCAGTAGAAATTTTAAAATTGCTGGAAGACAATGGGAAGAATTTTTTACTGCAGCTCTTCAATCGGATATATGAAACAGGAAAGATACCTAATGATTGGCTAAAATCAACCTTTGTGACAATCCCCAAAAAAATAAATGCAAAGAAGTGTACCAAATACAGAACAATAAGCTTAATGAGTCATGCCCTGAAAATATTCCTGAGAATAATTCACACAAGAATATACAACAATGTCTAATGAAGAAACGGATAAGGGGGGACATGATAGCAGTGTTCCAATACCTCAGGGGCTGCCATAAAGAAGAGGGAGTCAAGCTATTCCCCAAAGTACCTGAAGGCAGGGCAAGAAGCAACAGATGGAAACTAACCAAAGAGAGAAGCAACCTAGAACTAAGGAGAAACTTCCTGACAGTTAGAATAATTAACCAGTGGAACAACCTGCCTCCAGAAGCGGTGAATGCTCCAACACTGGAAGTTTTTAAGAAGAGACTGGACAGCCATTTGTCTGAAATGGTATAGGGTTTCCTGCCTGAGCAGGGGCTTGGACTAGATGACCTCCAAGGTCCCTTCCAACTTTATTATTAACAGGTGGGTAAAGACTCCTACAGGACAGTCCGTGATCTTTTACCAATTTTCTATTATTCTGATTTTGTTTTCTCAAATCTTAAAACAGTTTGGCAACTTTAAGCACGCATTAAGGCAGAGGCCTTGTCTGCATACACAGTTGCGTGTTTAAAAAAAAAGCAACGCTGGCTACCAGACCCAGCTATACTTTAATGAGCGACGTATATTCGGAATTAGGTCCCCTGTCTTTTACGCGATAGGATCGCTCGCCTATTACGGCGCACCAGGCTGTGCACCAGTCTCGGCATCTTTAACCCTTTAATGCCGAGGGAATTGATATGAAAGGGCCTCAAGTTCTTGCACTCCATCCAGCAGCACCGCCAAACACTGCCTCGCTTTGCACCCGCTGCCAAACTCAGGAGACATGGCCAGCAGGGCCGCCCAGAAGAAAAGCTCAGGGAACCGGGAATCGGCTCCGCCGAGGAAGTTCCCCCGCCACGGCCCGGCTTCCAATGAAGGATTGCCAATGGCTGCCGGGCCCCGGGAATCCCAGAGTCCTTTACTCCCCGGGGAAAAGCCACGTACTGCTAATCCGCCTAGCCTGTGGTGCAGCGCCCGCTCCAGCAGTCCTCTCGGTCCCATCTATTTGCTTCCTCCTTGTCGCTGCAGCGGCTGCTGTGACTTCCTAACCGTAGCCAAGCCAACCTCCCCGCTCCCTGTTTTGCCTAACGGAGACCTCGTTAGGGCTGCCCGCCGTGCCCACCCCGCTCCGGCAATCTACCTGAGCGCTGCAATGACTTCAGCCTCAAGAATAACCTGCTCCCCGGGCACTTCCTTCGGCCGGTCTTTTTCTGCTTCGCGGTGTATTAAAGGCAAAGCGGTGTATTAAAGGCAAGGTGTGGTTCCTCCGACAGAAAAGGCGAGTGGGTTGGCCAAAGTCGGAGATGGACGTGCTGAGGTAGCGCATCGGGCATCAGCGCGATAATTAATAACGACGATCTCAAAGCCAATTCCCGCCTATCTTCCTTTGTTAGACTATCGTCCAAAATAAATCCAGATGGGCTTGCCTTTGAGTAAAATCCAAAGGTAGCCTGGCAGCTTTTAACACGAGAGTCCAAATCCAGATCATCTTGCTTATTTCGCCACACGTAAGATAAAGCAAAGAGCTTACCACGAATAATTGTAATGAAAGCTCCGGTCCCGTTCTCGTGGGGTTTCTGTGCAGACTGTTGAAGAGTTGCACTGATTTTCAATGCAAAATCTTAGGCTTGTCTTCTCAGAAGCCCCGCTGAATTCAATTGGGCTTGCCCGAGGGCAGGGGTCAGCAACCTTAAACACTCAAAAGAGCCATTAGGATCCGTTTCCCATAGAAAAGAAAACACTGGGAGCCACAAAACCCTTTTGACATCTAAAATGAAGATAACACTGTGTATATCACTTTTTACCTTTATGCTATGTATAAAAAAACTATAGTGTGTTATGAAACCAATGAACTGCCACAAAGAAAACAAATTTTTATTTCTGCATGCAACACAAACATTTTGAACTCCACCCCTCCACCCCCCAAAAAAGATGCTGGGTGGAAGGTTACTTTCAAATAAAATACTCAATGTCTATTTGAGTCCTCCTCGTATTTATGAAATAAAAAGCCGGTGCAAGCTATAAAAACTACAAACAGAAAAATAGAAAAGAAAAAAATTGTGGGGGAGGGGGGAGAAAAAGACAGGAGAAAGAAAGAAAAAACAAATCTTTCTCCTTCATGCCAACAGATAAAAACAATTTTAGTAGCTTATCTGCCATCTTTAAATACGGCATAATTATCTCCACACCTTATGTCTTAATTGAAAAAACATCAAAATATTTCATTAAATGTTCTTTACTAATGGTCTAGTAAGGACAACTACATATATTCATATATCTCTCTCCCTGCCTCTCTTCCTCCCTGCATCTCTCTCCCTCTCTCTCTCTCTCTCCCCCCCGTCTCCCTCTCCCTCCCTTCCTCCTTCCCTCCCTCCCTTCCTCTTTCCCCCCTCTCCCTCTCCCCCCCTCTCCCTCCCTCTGTCTCTCTCCTTCCCTTTCCCTCCCTCCCTCCCTCCTTCCCTCTCTCTCTCTCTCTCCCTCCCTATCCCTCTCTCTCTTTCTGCCCATTCATTCATCTGACCCGAGCACCCGCACACGCCCACATACACAAATTTTTCTATCTTGGTCTCACGGGGATCGAGAGGAAGAGGAACCGGCCCGAACGGAATAGGACAAATGAACACAGCTGCCTTAAGACACTTGCTGCATCTCAGGCACCTCATCACAGCTGACGCACCATGGACATTCTTATACGGCGCTCGTCTCCTGCCCTTGGTCTGCCAGTCCTCTTCCCCAGTCAGTGTGTTTGTCTGTGTGTGTGTGGGTGAAAGAGAGAGAGAGAGAGGCACTTGCGCTTCTCTCTTTCTCTCTCTCTCTCTCTCTCTCTCTCTCTCTCTCTCTCGGGGGGGGGGGGCTTCTGGACCTTCTGGACCTCTGTCTTCTTGCAGGTTCCAACCAACTGCTTTGTATTTCGCCGAGGTCCCCAGGCTGTAGCCAAAATAGCTGCGATTGGAATATGTAGATAAAGCAGCATTACGCTGGCATTGAAGGCAAGTGGAAGCAGTGGACGGAGCAGGCAGGCAGGGCTCAATCCCAATGGATTGAGAAGGGAAGTGCAAGTGCCTCTCTCTGTCTGTCTCTCTCTCTCTGCAAATGGCGGAGGAGGATTGGGAGCTGCAGTAGAAGGCTGAAAGAGCCACATATGGTTCCAGAGCCGCGGGTTGCCATCCCGTGCCCAAGGGGAATGGGGCCCGAAAGTGCAGCGCTAATTTGAAGCATTTTGCTTCAATCAGATGAAAAACAGAAAAAATCGTTTGAAGTGGAATATTACAGACTCAGCATGGCAGGTCCTCGACATCCTTCAAGGGAAAAAGGAGTATTGTTTTTAAAACCACGATGATGGCTTTAAAATGTGTTTCAGAGCCATGATGATGGCCTTGAAACTGTTGTATGGTTACCTGTCTTCAATATGTTGGGGATATCTTTGAACTAATGTATGAAAAATAATGGAATAGGAGATAAGAATCAATGGGATAAAATTTAAGCTAGCTTTTAATGATTTTTCCATAGTCCTCTGTTGAAAAATATTTTTAACATGCTAAAAAATACAAGCATCCTTTGTAAATCTCATCCTATAAATGTGCAAACATATTTCTTATGAAAAATGGGGAAAAAACCGAGATGTAGTTTGGTTTTTTGGCTAAGGCAGTTTTTTGAGTCCCAAACATTAGAAAATCATCTTTAGTAACCAAATGAAGCTGCTAGTTGGACAATCAACAAAAATGGCACAGTTTACATATATATCTTTTAAAATTGGCTTTTCTACTGAAACAACAACAACAACAACAACAACAACAATAATAATAATAATAATAATAATAATAATAATAATAATAGAGTTGGAGTGAGGAAAGGTAAGGCTCAAAATGAACTAAGGCTTTCAACAAAAGTCAAAAATAACAAAAAAAGCTTCTTTCAACATGTAAAAAACAAGAAAAAGGTTAAGGAAATGATTGGTCCACTAGTGGGAGAAAGTGGCACGAAGATGACAAGCAACAGGGAGAAAGCAGAACTACTCAACTCATTTTTTGCATCCGTATTTACACAAAGGGAAAAAACAGTCCAACCTATCAAAAACACTACTGTAAACAACAGATTAGAAACACAAGTTAAGATAGGCAAGAAAATGGTAAGTGAGCACCTGCCCACTCTAGATGAGTTCAAATCACCAAGACCAGATGGTTTACACCCCAAGGTTCTGAAGGAACTGGCAGATGTGATCTCAGAACCACTGAACTATATCTTTCAAAGATCCTGGAGCACTGGGGAACTACCAGAGGACTGGAAAAGGGCTGAAGTAGTTCCCATCTTCAAAAGGGGGGGGGAATGGATCCAGGAAACTACGAACCTATCAGCCTGACCTCAATAACTGGGAAGATCTTGGAAAAGATAATCAATCAACGAATCAGCAAACACCTATGGGCAAACAAAGTCATTACAAAAGCCAACATGGGTTTCTCAAAAACAGATCATGCCAGATAAATCTTACTACATTCTTTGACCAGGTGATAAAATTAGTGGACTGTAGTTTCCTGGATCCTTCCCCCCCCCCTTTTTTTTTTTTTTTTTTTTTTTTTTTTTTTTTTTTTGAAGATGGGAACTACATCAGCTCTTTTCCAGTCCTCTGGTAGTTCCCCAGAAACTGTTTTATAGTTTTTCTCTTTTTCTCAGCTCAAAACAATAGGAAGCTCCTGTCACAGCTTTGAGGCTGCAGAGAGGACCAGAATTAAAGAAAAGTACTTTAGCTGATTTTGTCCTAAATACTTAAAAGCCTTCAGCAAAAGAGGTCTCCTCTTATTATATTTTTCTCTAATCTACATTTTCCCCCGGAAAGATTTCTCACACTTAACTTCAAAATATTCATATATTTTAAATAGGATTTTAAACAGGAAATGTTCTTAGTTCAAAATCTGATTTCCAATCAAGTTCACCCTTGGTCTGTTTAAAACACTCTGAAATTAATGCTTATTTCCAAACATTAGATTTTTCTTTAAGTTCTTAAACTGACATGAAACTTCTTTCCATGAGAACTGAAGGGAAATCACCAATGTAATAAAACTTATCCTTCTCAAGGTTCTTGGTATCCAGAAAAGCAATTTACAAGACATATCAGTGAAAGTTATTAAGACAAGAAGTGAACTAAAGGCTCCGAATGCAATTTGAGCAAGACTTCCAGAGCTGTAAAACCCGCCAGAAATTGCTGTCTTATAGTCTCATCGTGGGGAGTATCTGTATGGAGAACTATGGGAGATCCCAGGTCCTCCCCTTAATCTGGAGAGGAGTTTAGGGCGCCAATTCGTTCACTGGCTCTTCCTTCTGCCTTGGTCGTCAGCCCATTCTTCAATTTGCCATTGCTTTCCTGCTTCCCTTTACTAGAGTTTTGTACAGTATTCCAAATGCTATATAAAATATTATAGGAAATAAAAATGTATTTCAGCTTTGGTTGATGAAAATAACTCTGAGCTTTTCTACAGGATTGTTCCCATCTTCCCATTTGGATGGCTTGGGTATTTATGGTATGATAAAGTAAATGTTGATTTTAATAATCATTTTATTAGACACACCATATTAAGAGTTTGGAATAAATATAAAACAAGTTTTACGAAAGCTTTTTTTTTAGAAAAGAAATGGTGATAAAGCCGTATGGTAAAAGATGTATGGTAAAATAGTATATTTCAATTCCAGAGACCCCATCCTCAAGTTAGGGAAGAATTAGAATTAAAAGGTCACACTTCTAATGGTTTACATGCCAACAAATGAAGGAAAGATTTAAACTAGAGAAAAAAGGCCATGGTTTTGAGTTTGCTAAAAATGAATTGGAAATCCTACTACGTGGTAGTGATGATCATATAATCGCCAAGGTCTATAAAACAATATTAAAATTGAATTTGGAAAATGAAAGTGTAAAACACTGTATGATCCAGTGAGCAAGGAATTATGGGTATAATGTGACATTTGAACAATGGGAGAATATGTGGGTAAAAGGCTTAAAATTCACATTAAATTATAACCTAAAAGAAATTTTTTACAAAATGATGTATCGCTGGTATTTAACACCAGATAAGTTATCTAGAATGTATAAAAGTATTTCAAATGAATGTGGCAATGTAAATGTAAAGAAGAGACTTTTTATCATTTATGGTGGACATTTGATAAGGTAAAGAAATAGGATCCATATATTAATGCCGAAAATTCTTAAAGTGAATATAAAGATTAAACCAGAAACTTTCCTTCTGGGCCTAATGGAAAGAGAACTGGAAAAAAAATTGGAACTCTGATTTTATATATGGTGACAGC